CATCGCGAGACGAGGTGTTTGAGGAGCACTTGAAAACTGCCACAGTCTTTAAAGGAACATCAAAGACTGTACAAAATGAGCTGTTGGATTGCATGCTATCAGTCATCAGGGAGCATATAATGGAAGAGGTGAAGTCAGCTAGATTCGTAGCAATTCAAGCAGATGAGACTACTGACGTTTCTACACAGACTCAATAAGTGCTTGTGTTCAGATACATTAACACGGACCATGCTGTGCAAGAACGTTTCTATGAGTTCATCCCTATCTTGAATACAACAGCCGAGTCGATTGCCAGTATGATTCTGGAGAGGCTGAACAGTCTTTTCACTGATGATGACAAATCTAAACTCATCGCGCAAGCATACGACGGGGCAAGTGTGATGAGGGGAGAGCGGGCTGGTGTGCAGCAAAAGGTGCGTGAACATTATGAAAATGCACATTATGTGCATTGCTATGCACACCAGCTGAATTTGATCATGCAGCAAGCTACATCTCAAACTCCAGCAGTTAGAGTATTCTTTTCTGATCTGAGTGGCATTACCAGCTTTTTTACCCGGTCACCAAAAGGCACTACTATTCTCGACGAGATTGTTACACGAAGGCTGCCAAGAGCCTCATCCACAAGATGGAACTTTAATAGCAGAATCGTGAACACTGTATACGAGAACCTAGATGACCTTATAGAGTGTTTCAGATCTATTGCGACTGACAGCTCATTTGATAGCAACACGGTGAGGGAGGCATCTGGCTTCCTGAGGATGCTGCAAGATGAAGACTTTCAGTTTTTTCTGCATCTGTTTCATCAAATCATGCCTCACGTTGACGTGATGTACCAGCAGCTGCAGAAGAAGAACCTTGATGCAGTCTTCATCAAACAAGCCCTCCAGAACTTCACAATGAAAGTGCAGTCCATCAGGTAAGATCATATAATATTGTTCATACCTTCTCAATATAGGACCATGTCATTTAAAAATGCATGCTATATGGTAACAAGATTTAGACACTTAAAAGTGGGGAACTAATTTAATCATCTGCATCTTTGGAAATTGTAATTACCTTGTTTGTAACAAAGTTTAGCCAGCAATTTTTATATCTTTTGAGCTATTCTCAGAAAATATATCTAAAACAGACTATTTGTGTTGCTTCTGTTTTTCTAAGACATGAATAAGTATTGTCAATGACATGAGATTATTCATAAAACATGTTTTATTCATAAAAACACTGTTGATCTATCTGTGTTCAGGGACCAGAGCTCATTTCAGGAGCAGGAGCACGTAGCAACAGGAACAACACGATCTAGGAGGGACTTGGGAGAAGAAGACAAGCAGAGGCTGTCTAAAGAGGTCTTTATTGCTGACCATTTAAATACTCGAGTGTTGGAGAATCTCACTTTATTTTTACAATCAGTTTAGGAAAGGATAGTAGCAGTATTTTTTACTCCTAGCATTGTACTTTGAAATTTGTACATTCCATTCGAACACCAACACAATCTTTATCCTACACGTCAACGATTCAGTGAACAATATTATTTGTCGCCACCTAGTGGAATCTTTAATAAAATAAACTGAGTGGATTGAAAATACATTTACTGGTCAAAAACCCTTGTCAAACTCCATTTGAGCTTGAATTTTGGTAATATGTTAATTAACGTAATAACACACACACACACAAATCATCGCTGTCGGACGGAAGCCTTGTATGTCCAAAACTGTTACTTTTCAGGAAACGAAAGAAAACCTGTTTTTTCCCCAAAATAATTTCCAAGCTCTTTTAATGATTTTCATTGGCTACATATTTGTAAAACACATTGACAGATGTAAAGGGTGACCAATAGCATTAATTTTTGAAAAAAATATTGAGATATAAAATATGGATTCTTCTTGATACATTGTTGCTGTCGGGATGGAAACCTTGTATCTCCATATTTATATTATAATACATAATTTATGTTATAACTAAAATAAATGTATTTATTTTGTCAGGTCTGCGACACAATCTTGGTCCACACCAAAGAAAGTTTCTCCTTTACCGACCACCTTGTAAGTGCCACGCTGCTACAAGGAGAGATGTTTCAACAGCATGGCCATACATTCCCTGTTGAGGCTTTGAACATCACTGTCAGGGCATACCCTATGTTAAATAAGGCGAAGCTGAAGACTGAACTGTCTCTCATTTATGAGAGTCCAGAATTCAAGGGCTGCTGTGGTGCACTGGCGCTGTACCAGGTTTTGCTGAAGTACAACCTCCAGGATACTTTTCCAGAGACTGTTGCTCTGTTGAACATCCTCATAACCACTCCCATGACAATTACTGAAGCTGAGAGGTGTTTCTCAACCTTAAAGAGAATCAAGACATTCCTGAGAAATGTAATGGGACAGGAACGTCTGAATGCAATGGCTATGCTTTCCATGGAGAGGGAACTAGTCAGGAACATGCCTGCTTTCAATGAGAGAGTAATTGATCACTTTGCTACTTTGAAAGAGAGAAGAGCAAAATTTCAGTATAAGTAAGCAGTGTATTAAGCGAGTAATGTGATGTAAGCAGTGTAATAATAGTGAGTGTAGAAACAAACAAGGAGATGTATTGTAAGAGTCACTTTATTTTTCATTAATATTAAAGTAGTGAAGTTGCCTTTACATGCTTAAGCTGTTAATGTATCCATTGCATGGGTGGACCTTATCCTTATCAATCATCCAGACATTTGCCCCCCCTGAGAGATGTTGCAGGAGCCGCCACTGCTCCAACACACAGCAACCAGTTAGTGCTGTACTAGTGTAATGCGAGCAAGAACAGGGTGGGTGCTGCCTCCACGCCACTCACACGGGCCGGAGTATTGGGGGGCGGAGCCTGGTCGACGGAGCGTGTGGGAGGAGCCACTGCTCACCTCGGCTCCAATGGGAGTCGGGGTGAACGGGGGGCGGAGACGGGGGCAGTACGGGAAGGAGGAGTCAGGGTCACGTGATGGGGAGGATATAGGGAGAGAGCCGGAAGAGATCGGGAGTTGGAAGAGAGTGGAAATAGGGGGAAGCCACGCTGGGCAGTGGTGGCGGCGCCATTTGCCACGTGGTGGAGGCCACGGCACCGTCGGCCAGCGGTGTGCGTGGGGTAGCCGCGGCTAGCGGAGCGCGAGGGGCTAGCGGAGCGCGAGGGGCTAGCGGAGCGCGCGGGGCACACGGAGCAGCAGTGTGGCTGTGGAGTGTACGGGGCACACGGAGCGTGCGCGGGGTGCACGGCAGAAGAGGCGCGGGTCCGACCGAGGACGCCGCGGGGTGTGAGACAAGAACCCAATGAAGGACGAACGGAGACCTACATCGCCTGACAGAGTCCTTTATTACACATTTGAACCACGACGAGTGAGCGTGGTGCTGGAAATGCCACGGGCCGAGTAGCGGGTGGATGCAATAATGCATCTCTCGTCTTCAGCCGAGTTCAATTGTCCCATCATCGTGAAGGCTGCACGGTTAGGAGTTGCCACAAACAATGGCGCAGCGACAACTTTGAACGCCGAAGGCTTGCCCCCAAAGTTCTGGAGGAGCATGCGTACACATTTCTCATTTCAGGCATCAGCAATTTACAAAGGTGGGAACAGTGAATTACATTCAGATTCCAACTACACCAAGTTTTACTTTTCTCAACGTAGATCCTGAAAAAATGAACAGGTTCGGTCATCAGAGATTGCGTCTGTCCATCTTATTTTACAATGAGCGTACGAAGACATTGACGATGTATTTTAAATGCATTTCCATATCGTTATATGTACATACACATAAACAGCATACATTCATAATAGATTCTGCTCCAGTGATGTTGCATAATGAATAGAAGCTTAATTATATATACAAGTTATTTACTGTGCATATTAGCATTTAGACGCTCAACTCGTGTTTTTATAGTCATGTGCCTGTGTTGGAAATTCCACATTCCTATGACAGTCGAATCTCGGTGCAGGACAACCACGGCTGACACCCCCTGAAAATAGATCGGAAATAAGCGCTGAGAATGTTCAAACAATACTCGGCACCTGCACATTAAAGCCTGTGTACACGCACACTGAAATATGAGGATAAGGTCCCCATTTTGTGCCTCCCAGCAAAATACGATCCAGAGCTAAGGGTTGCCAAAACTTTACACCACAAACTCTGATTGTGAATGACAAATGAAAGCCGACAGGGAAGAAGAATAGGGCTTTAAAAAAATTAACCCGTAAAAACAAAGTTTTTCACTATAAATCCTGTATATGTGTGGCATCGGTTTTATTTTTTTATTCATTTGTTTTTCTTGAGTAAGAGTTTCATTTTTATAGTGTGTTGACACACATCCAGAATAATTTTCTGTGTTTAGGAAAAATATATGATTGTGTTAGTGAAATTTTTTTTTCCTACAAAGTGGAAAATTTTGGAAATTTTTTTTCCACGAAAATACTTTGTCACGCACAACGAGTCTGTGTGCAAAATGTCAGCTCGATTGGATCACAGGAAGTGGGTTAAAAACGACCGAAAGATTTGCACGGTCGTAAGCAAGTGAACTTAATATAAAGGATTTTAAAATGGATATGTATTTCCCCCTTTCGTCCCCTCTGCTTTATCAGTGTTGATTCCTGTCACCAAAGTACACGGATTTCAAACTCTTTTCGATCGGCACAGTACCACCCTTCGCTTCTCATCGTCAGATTCATAAACTTGACGTCTACAAAATGAACAACTTTTTCTCAGCAACCCCAGTTGGGACTCGAACCCACAATCCCTGGCTTAGGAGGCCAGTGCCTTATCCATTAGGCCACTGGGGCTACATGTAGCATGATGAAAACCTGGCTTATGTACAGACTTCGTAAATAAACTCACAATAAAAAAATATATGTTTTTCCCCTTTCATCCCCTCTGTTTAATTCATGTTGATAATTGTTTTTTTTCCTAAAAGGTGGGAAATTTTGGAAAAAAAATTTCACGAAAATAAATTGTCACGCACAACGAGTCTGTGTGCAAAATATCAGCTCGATTGGATCACGGGAAGTGGGTTAAAAAACGACCGAAAGATTTGCACGGTCGTAAGCAAGTGAACTTAATATAAAGGATTTAAAAAAAAGTTAAATTGCAGTCACAGTTGACGTTCTTAAATGCTCTCAACAGTAACCCAAAGTTTACTCGGATGACACATGCTGGGTGAAAGGTTTTGATTGTGGCCTTGTTAAATAATTGCGCTGTGTTTTTTTCAGGCCCAATAATTGCTTCCAGGTTGATCGTTCGCCAAAACCTTCCATGCTGCGCACATTCTTGCTGCGTTGCGAGCTGTAGGAAGTAAAGGAAAAGAAGAGGGAGGGAGAGAAAGAGAAAAGCCCGTATAATTAGAGTCGGGCAGACATGTGCGGGACACTTGCAAATGCGTCAGTTGTATGACAGGCGATACATTTGAGACTAAATATTAGGTTACCGTTCTTCGCGGCATTCGTTATTTAAACACGTACCTGACAAAGACAACCGGCTACGACTTACCCATTGGGCCGTGTGTTTATTGGCGTGTGTATCAATACAATTGCAAAGGGGAGTGGTGGACATGACGGCTCGTGCATTTGAGTTCACGAGCCTCGTTTTATAGGATCCCGTTCTTTGGCCACAGGGCCCAACGCAACTGAACCTGCCCGAGGTTGACTCGGGGAAAAAATTAGTACTCGGTACGGTGAGGACAACACGAGTACTCAGGTGAATAACAAAACAAAACCAGTGCACTTTGTTGCTGGCCACACAACAAGGCTTCATTGATCTTGCAAACAGCACTTGCCCTGATAGTCTACAAGGTAATTTGTATATTGATATATTTAAAGGAAATATGTTTCAGGCAAAAAACGTACATTTGTGAGTATATAAGTGAACAGTAATTGCCACGTGTTATATTTGTGCCTGGAAAATAATTGCACCCAGAAAGAATTACATAGCGTTACACATCATTAATAAGCACATACATTAAAACAAACTATCTAGTTGACATGCCAATCAATTGTTAACTGCACACACAAGTTCGACCTATAATGGGCTCTTAACATTTACGTTTTATTAACGCGAGGTACTCTTCTTAAACATTTCCACATGAAACCTGTTCGATGGCCCACTCTCACAGAGTACCTTTGAAGAGATATGGCAACGTTCCACAATCCAAGTGCATACTTGTTTTTTTGCCCATGTGTATGGCCATGTGCCGTTAGCGATCACCTATTACACCCGACACCCAATCAGAGGAAAGTTAGTCAAATTGCACATGTATTGCTCTCTGATCTAAGCCACCCAATATGATTTCTGCCCATGGGAAATCGGTATTCGAAATAGGCTTAGGTTTCCTTTAGGTGAATTCAGCCAAAATAATGATTATCTACGGCAGTATATCAGTATAAGTGATGAGAGACAAAGGCAGTGGCGGCGTGGTGTGATGCTGGCTACACGAGCTTCGTGTAGCTGTGCCGACCTTAACAGGGCGCTCACAACGCACTGTGAACACTTGGCTTGACAAATGGCTAAACAAGGTTCTGTGTGCGTCGGTTTGTCTGCGTGTATGCTGGGAGCTGTGCTGCAGATGTCCGAGCACTGTGCAGCGCTACAATCCCACCAAAAATTGTTCAATTCCCCACCATACACATCTGTCCCGGGTCACAGCTAGGTTTACTCGGCCAAAAGTGAGTATCTGGTACAGGACGTATTATATCAACAAAGGTAAATAGGCAACCGACAATGTGGTGTGGGCCGAACCGCTCTCTCGTGTGCAAAGCTGGCCGTGGCGAGTTCTTGCTCATGATAAAGTCTCCAAGTCTCCAAGGTTCAAGGGCAGGGGGGGGGGAGGAATCATTGATTTCTGTGTGTGCATCACTGTGCGTGTGTTTCCTATATCCCCCTTTGGGTGCTCCCCTCTATGAGCGCGGCAAGTATGTGCAGGTGTGCCATGTGTATGGCCCGTCATGCGCGGGTGAGCGAGCTTTCCCAGGCATGTACATACCACCCCCCCCCCCATGTGTTGAAGTGCACACGCGCACGTGTACGAGTGCGCCCAAGCAAAATGTGTGTGTCCACCAGCGCACGTGCGTTGCGTTCACCTGCACGGGGAGCACGTGGCTTGCTTCTAAAACACCTGCGGGTGTTTATACACCGCAGCAGGTATTTATGTAGGGCTGAGTTAACCTAAGGGAAGCCCAGGACATCATCAAAAGTCACTCGCCGTTGATGTTTACCATGGCTGCAAATCAAATCCAGGACACTAATGTCGTAGCGCAATTGCGCTGACACACACGTCCATGCACACGGGATGTGTTTTAAACGTGCGTTCATTTTCTTTTTCGTTGATTCTGACGTGAATTTGCAATCATCACTGATTCTTTCTCATGGGTAATCAATAATGGAACATTTCTTTGAGAAAGCAACGTTAACCAGTATAATCATCATGTTTAAATAATAAGTCAGAAATTCAAGCCCTTGAACAATCTACCGCTGAATGACGGCCTCTCCTCGCCTTGTTGGTTTTGAGGGTCGCCTGACCATATTTAACGGTGCTGGGTTGGCAAAGGTTAAGACGAAGCCAAAAAGGATTTCAGATATTAAAGAGCACTGATGTTCTCTCTGGTTAGAAATTTTACTTTTGGGTCTGAATTGATAGCTTAGTGCACTAACCACGGCACCACTGATCCTCCCAACGTATTCATATTCATATGTAACTACCACATCATCATCAGTTATGGTATATACACTGCTGGATGAAGATCTCCATATGCCACGTCAATCCTGTCTTGTTTATTTTAACTCGTATTGCGTGCCCTTCAGTTATCAGATCAACCAATAACAGCAAAACAAATTCCATTAGGAATTTGAAGATTAATTCCTACAAACAAGCAAACTCTCTATAGATGCCCAATGACGTTTGAGAGAAAGAGCCACTCGTTGAGGAGACACAACACATTTTCGATTCCGGTTTCCGGAATTGAGGATGCATTTCTATTGTCCTCGATGTGTGAGAGTTTTGTGGTGGAATTCCGAGACAAATTCCCAATAGAATTCCAACAGACGTTAGAAATGGGATTGAGGAGGTGTAAAAGAGCCGGGGTAATCTGGTGAAAGCTGTGAGCTTAATGCCTCTGTCGAGAATTACATTTCCATCTGCTTACCAGTGTCAGGAACTGTAATGTCCAGAGGCATACCAGTGATCGTACCAGCTGTAAAACGCTTCTTGACCACAATTACAACGTTCAGTGGATTCGCAACCCACCGCTAACGGTTGCAATCACAGCTCGATATCGACAATTCCCAAAAACAACGGCATCGTGAGGTCATTTTCTCCGTGTATGCGAGTGTGTTTAGTAGCACGCTGGTGCTTTTTGTCTTGTGAAAATGACTTAATAGGAGTGCTAATTTGAATGCTGCAACATTTCACTTTGCACTTGTGATTTGGGGAATTGGCAATCGTCTCCTAACCCTCACGAATTCCCATTGCAGCCAGTGCTGTGGCCCATCGTGGGATAAATGGCACTCGTGTGCTTATGCAGCAATGGATGGTTTTTTTCGAAAGAAAATTATGGTTTATTTGTATAAAAAACAGTCAGATCTATTGGTAAAAATGTTTTTATATTTGCTATGAGGAAGGTTAATCGCAATTGTTAGAAATATCACTTATTGTACGTTATGCTGTGTCCTTTGCGCAGTGTGACGGAGGAATGTGTTGTAGTTTGCATTATTTGTTGTCGTGCACCACTGCCAATGCAGATGTAGAGGTGTAATTGCGCATGGCTACGAATGTTGAGGTGTGATTATGCATGGCCACGGATGGCCAACAAACACAAGGGGCGGGGTTACGGCCGTACACAAGGGTGGCACTCGCACCGACGTCCGCATGTGTATCCCCCACGGGCCCCCCCTCGGGGGCGAGTCCTATAAAAGGTGATGAGCTCGAGGGCTCGAGGTCGGGACTCAGCTTTAACCAGAGAAGACGGAAGACCAGCTAGTGTAGGCCCCAGAGCTCCCCTGGCTCGCTGTCCTTATAAGGGCCGACCAGGGCAAGCCGGTGGCGTGGCCCCGAGAGCCCAGACGAAGCTGGTCTGGTGACTCAGGGAGCCGGGATCCCAGCTTAACCAAGCTGGGACAGATAGCCTCCCCTAGTCCCGTAGTGGAGGAATTGGTATAGGTTAGAGGGGTTAGCTGTCGAGAATCCCTGTAGCCAAGTGACCTGTAATAAATGTGTTGGTGTAATAAATAAGTGTGCCTCCGATCCTGTCGTCAAGCCTCCATATATACTTACTACATCTGGGGTCAGAAGTAAACGTCCAACGATGGACACACGAGGGACGACACGTACCAGGGAGTCGGAGATGGAAGACGCCGCGGCCGAATCACCACCAGAGATGGCCGGGGTCGAATCGGAGCAGCCGGGGCCGAGTACGCCCGCGCCGCTACGACAGGAGGAGGGGGATGCGTCGGCCGAAGGACTCCGGCTGGCCCACTCCCGCCTGGCGGACCTGCTCTACGCCGCGGCCGCCGCGTTGGAGGAGATCACGCGGCTGGGGGCTGGAGGAGCAGCGCGGGTCGACGACGGCAGCCGGCGCGGGGCGACGTTTCCCGCCACCCCGACGCGGCTCGCGGTCAAATTTCCCGCCATATCTACAGTACGAGCGGAGGGCGGGGCCGGCCCGCGTCACGTGTCTGCTGAGCGCCAAGCACAAGCCGTGACATCATCAACGCCGGCCGGCGCGTCAACATCGGAGCGACCGGCGATGCCATGGGCACGGCCCGCCCACACTGTATCATCGGCGGGGAGCGACGGAGAGCGTTCTGCGGCCACGGACGCCGCCTTACAACAGCGTCTGCCGCCTCTTAAAGAATTTGTCGGCGCTGACGGAGACTGGGGCGGCTTCAAGAGGCGGTTCATCGCTCATCAAGAGATGGCGAACTGGTCGGACGCCGAGGCCCTACGCGCGCTGCCAGCGATGCTGGACAACGACGCCCTGGCTACCCTCACCTCGGCGCCGAGGGAAAAGCGCGCCACTCTACACCTGGCGTTGCAGCTGCTGTCAGCCGTCTATGGGCCGCCTTCGGACTGCAGGCAGCTGTTCCACGATCGGAGTCGGGGCGCCAACGAGTCACCCCTGGCCTTCCGGACGGCCCTCCTGGCTCTGGCGAAGGCTGCTTTCCCAAGGATGGACGAGGAAGGAGTGGATGCCATGGTGGCTGAGAAGCTGCTGCTACTCGCTGACGAGCTGGACGTCAACGTCCTGGCTCAGGACGACGCGGAGATGTCGTCCCTGCTGGTCGCGCGCCACATC